TGGGGGTCAGCGTTGTTCCTCTTTTGTGTTAATGATCTTCCCAGTCTCCTATCATCATTGGCTTTGTAAAATACTGACGATGTGCAGATATGGAGAGCAATAATAGGGGAAGGTGATGGTTTAGAAATTCGAAATGATCTGGAGAAATTATGTGCATTGACTAAAATTTGGAAATTTCCAATAAATGCTTCCAAGTACTTCGTGATGTATGTTGGTCAACAATGTACAAATGCTTACACTGCTAATAACAGTGAGCTACCTTTTGTTCAGACCCACAATGGCCTAGTAGTCATCTTCGGCCAAGACTTAAAAGCTGCTCCACACTATCGTGTGATATCCACCTAAGGTTAGAGAGCCCTATTGTCAGTACAAACAGCCTTTGGCCACGTTGGCACTGAAACCATTTTGATTTTGCATACAGTGTCCGTTCGTCCTAAAGTTGAGTATTGCATTACGCGGACGATCTTAAAAACTTCACAGGCTCAGAACAACGGACTCTCTCATATTCTGATTCTAGGAGACTTCAATCTTCCTAGAGTCAACTTCGCGGAACATACCTCTATTGGAGGTGAAACTCGGTTCTTCAACCTCACTGAGGATCTGGGATTATTTTCGAAAATGTGAAATCAACAACTCGTTGGAGAAAAAGTCAGACGCCGTCGCACTTAGACTGGGTATTTGAAAATGAATAATTCCTAGTCAACGACCTCTCAATCCTGGCTCCCCTGGAAAAAGTAATCACGCCGTCCTATCAATCAGCTTTGTCAGTAAAACTCAGCTAAGACATTTCATCAACAACAGGTGCTGAAATTTCAAACGGTTGGATGTGTCAGCTTTACAGGACTTTCTACAACATGTTGATGGGGATGTTCACCCTCAACTGGAAGTGGATGCTCATTGGGATTTCCAACTGCACAGGCTCTCATGTGCTACTGAGCAATCAGTTCCTCAAATGGTCCCCAAAAGTCACAAGCAACTTACAATCATCAAGAACCGCACTCTTCGTTTGCTAAGCCGCAGAAGACACTGTTGGGCTGAATATAAACTATCTGATAACAACGGTGCGTACAGGCAATAGAAACATGAGGAACATGTGCACAAAGGCAATGAGAGAAAACATGATTCGGTACCAGATCAAGCTTATCGATAAATCTGTCTTCAATCTAAAAAGCTTATTCCGCCGACAAGCCAAAACTGAAGTTTCCCAACTGCTTGGTCCTATGGTCCGACCAGTAACAACGGTAATGCCTCCAACCTTCTAACTGAGCAGTACTCTCGGACATTTCAACCGACTCACGTCAACTACACTGATGAAAGCTTCATCTGCTACTGCACAAGACTTTCCGAAGTGAACCTGAACGCTGACTTGGTGTTCCGGAAACTGCAGCACATAAGAAAAAACACTTCTCCTGGTCCGGATAATGTTCATTTTGCTATACTGAGGGAAGCGGATTCAATCCCGACAACGCCGCTTAGCGTGGTGTTCTCACACTCGCTAAGTCAAGGCTAACCACCGAAAATTTGGAAGCTGGCTCACATAACATCAATTTATAAAGGAGGTCAACGCAGTGAACACTCAAGCCACCAACCGGTGGCACTTCTCTCTCTACCTTCTAAAATTATGGGGTCCCTGATATGCGATGGTGTACACGACTAATTATTATCCCTAAAGTACCCACCCCAACAGCACGGTTTCATGAAGGGTCACTCTTGTATAACCAACCTACTGACTGCGGTTGACAGATAAACAAGTATCCTTGATCGTAAGGGGAAGGTTGACATCATTTACCTTGATTTCTCAAAATCTTTTGATAGGGTCAACCGTATATGTCTTACCAATAAGCTTAAGCTATTAAGTATCAAACCACCTCTAATTGACTGGCTTACTTCATATCTACAAAATTGGCATTTTAAGGTCAGGGTTAACTTTACTTTCTCTCGGGCTGTAGAATGTCCTAGTGTGGTCCCCCAGGACTCGTTACTAGGACCTGTTTTCTTCTTGGTTTATATAAACTATTTTCCACAACAAGTATCGTCTGACTTTTTGCTTTTTGCCGATGACGTGAAACTTTGAAGAGAGATACGCAAACAAGGGGGTATACTGGCATTTCAGGGGGATCTGACTCGACTTCAACGTTGGGCAGACGACAACGGATTTACCTTCAACACTTCAAAGTGTGAATTAGTCCGTCCGCGACATGTTTCTGACTACAGTTACAACTTAGGAAACTCCTCTTTAGAAGTGTCCTAGGTTGAAAAAGACTTGGGAGTATTGATACCCTACTATTTGATGTCTTACGCTAACTGCGATAAAAATGCCTTTCGAGTAAACCTTGCACTGGTAACATTGAAGCGCATTTTTGGCCAGTTTGACGGTAGAACCTTTCACATAATCTTCAACAGTTTTATTCGTCCTCATCCAGAGTACGGAAACATAGTATTTCCTCCCTCCCTCCAAAAGGACAAGGACACTCTGGAACGTATCCAACGTCGAGTCACGAAATCAGTTCGAGGACTCAAATTCAAACCTTATGAAGAGCGCCTCCAATCACTTAACCATTACCCGTTAGAGTACAGGCGTCTTAGAGGTGACCTTATGACTTACAGCATCCTTAACACTTCTGGTCATCCCCTTAAACATCTTCTTAAGATTAGTCATAACACTAACATAACACCCAACGTAGCAGAACAGACTGTAGACACAACTTCCACCCCTTAGGAGTTGTCAAATGCTAGAATTCGCTGTCGACTGAGCTAGTCCAAGCGACTTCGCTTGGAAGAAGGTTCGCGTGTTTCAAAAAGGGCAGTGGTTTCATACTTGTTGTGACTATTGTTGCTTTTGTGTACTTCTTGCATGAAAAAGCATTTTTGATCTACTTTAACTCGATTTATCTCGGTAAAGGTTTGAAATTTTGCTAAATCCTTTGTCTTGTGGTACCTTCTTTCTCATTGACTCTGACACTTGTGTTACTATTGTGATCATATTGTGTGTTTAAACCATAATCTGGTTACAATGGTTGGCAGTATTTACATGTGTGGAGAGCCGAACTGTTTATTCCTCGTGGATGAAGGGATGCAGTATGTTGAGTGTAAAAAGTGTACCCGTCTAAGTCCCGCTGCATACAAAAGATACTCAAAGCCTAACTGTCATTGGATTTGCATCTTTCGCTGTACGAATAGGACGTTACTATTCCAGGAGGCTAAGAGCCTATCAGAGTTGGCCTATAAAAAGAAAGATAGTGGTTGCCCTAACAACACAAGTAATGACAGTGAAGACTGTGTCAGTGTTGTACGTGCTGTTACAGGACGCGTTAAACACCCTACTGCGACTGACGGGAAAGTGAAATTTTCGTTAAAACTAACGAGGATTTAAACATCACTTGTATCAACATGGGTATGCATGCATCTCCAATGGGAACTGAGGACCTTGATAAAACCATTACCGTCCACGATAGTCTCAATGTGGCCGTCTTAAATAAGAAAAAATGGACGGCAGTGCGGGAAAAAAAGAAAAGAAGCTAGAGGCAATATGCACTTTGTCGGCAAGTCATTGGTTAACTCCCATTCTGAGTCACACAATACACTACCAAACTCTGATGGTAAGGTAGAACACCACACTGGAGTGACTGAGAAGAACTTAGTCTCATCGAATATTATTGTAATTTGCTAGAGTCAAACGATCTCGATCCAAAATTAGACACGCCCATTATTCGGAAAGGCTCGGAGAATATATCCGTAGCATATTACCAGATAAATCTAAAGGTGTTCAGGTCAATAAATTTGTTAGGATAGGTAAAACGGCCGACAATATTTTTCAACCCTGACCATATAGACTCCTTAACGTAATCCTAGGGTCAGAGAAACAACGTAATCTTCTGTTAAGTAGCGCTCTAGTCATCACAGTACTGACATTCGAGTAAGACCTGATATGTCTCTTAAAGATAGAATAAAAAAGGAAGTTGGCACCAGCTGAACTAGAGACCCGTCGACAAAACGGTGAAGATAATCTCCGCTTAGTGTGTTTTCGAATACTCAGGTCTTGGAAGCGAATGTTACCAAGGCCTGTGTGGATAGGTCGTTCTCCCTAAGAGTTTTATATGCCAACGCTAGTAGTCCAAGAAATAAATTATATGAACTGGGAGCATTGATGGACAAATCAAAACCACTCATTGCAGCTGTGACGGAAACTTGGTTAGTCCATGACTTACTCCAGAATTATCTGGATACCACTGCTTAGGAAGTGATAGACATAGATGTAGGAAAGGAGGTGGAGCCCTTTTATACATAGCCAATAATATAAATAATCAGTCCTTTGCTTGCCAACTATATGCTGGTGGAACTTGTGAAGTTATTAGCTCACTATCGGATGTTTCACATTTGTACTCGGTGTCATGTATAGCCCAATCTGCTTAGCTGATGACTTTATTTTAAAGCACATTCAGCTATGGAGTGCAAATAACAGATGCTTGATATTAGGAGACTTCAATGCATCTTATATTAGTTGGACTGAGACGATCAAGGAAGGATCTATCCTTTGATAGTAGGATCCTGGTAACAGTAATGGAGCATGAATTAGTGCAGCATGTATTCGAACCTACACGTTCTGGTTCAAGCCAATGTTCTCCGTTGGGCTTGGTAATCACTCATGCGACTGGGGATATTGCCAACCTATACATTCTTCCGTAGTTAGCGAATAGCGATCACGCTGTTTTGTCACTCATGTTTAGAGCTAGTGACGTGATATACGATCAGGTTAAGTCTCACCCAAATGTTTGTAGAGCTGACATATCAGTAATTTGATTGATTAAGTTGATGGAACTAATAACACAAAATCCGTTAACAAACTGACTTGAAACTTTTATTGGATAGTGTTGTCTCTTCGTTATCTGCACCCACTACAGATGATTACAGTATGCTTATCTGAACATACACAGTGTAACAAACTGCAAGGAATAATATAGGTTGACAGACATTCTATCCTTAATACTGAGGTAGCCTATTTTGACTATTGGGTTTCAGAATTCACTGGCATTAGCACGTATACGAAAATTTGCGTTACTGTGCATCATGACTCCAAGGTCAGCTGGAGAGTCAAAACAATTGCCCCCAGAGGTACTATGTTTAATCCATAAGTCTGATCTCAGTACAGATGATTTGAAGAAAATTTATAACTATGCTCAAGCTAATCCAGTGCATCTCAGCCACCACATAAATCGTCTGGAAGTATTATTGACTAAACTGATAAATCCTGTGGAATGTAGTTGTTCAAACAGAAACTCAGTGCATTTCGACTTTGCCTGCAAAAATGTGGAATATGATGAAAGGCTTCAGCTTTCCGCTGCATGTTTCTCCCTAATCCCATTTTTGAAATGCTCCCCTCAACGTCTTCAGGAGTTCCAGTTACGTCTGTCCAGATGCCTTTGTGACTCATTGTCCTGCCTCCTCGAAATCCATGGTTTGCCTCACGTAACTTTATCGACCGTTCAAACGTATTTAAATTCGAAGGTAGACAATTTTTCATGTGTTATTCCGGTAGACAAGATAAAAAAGCTACCTGACGACTTCTCCAAGTTGCTAATTATGCGTGTTGATTTTTTCACTTATTGCTTACGTTATATCTTTACGCGTGATTTTCCAGTGCGCATCACTTTTTGCTTACCTATGTTTGTTTCCATATTTAGTGGTTTTTTCGAAGTAAAATTGACAGACGTAGCGAATATGCCGAATAGTCTGCTAAAAAGTTCCAGTCGTCTAATGTTATGTTTAGATACTATGTGTCAAACTGTTGGTACACTTATCATGCCCGCTGTTCCTTGCTTGTTAACTCTTCTCACATATCACTTGGAATGGACTGCGAGCTGGCGACTTGAAAGTAAAAATATGGAGTATTTTGTGCGTCTGCGTTTGGCATCTCTTTCTTGTTTACTCCATCTTACCACCGCGAGTTTAAAGTTTTCGTACGCATATTTTATAGAAATGATACCACGAATATTTTCACAGTTGATTTATGATTTACGAGGATTTCTTTCTACTTGTCAATATGCATATCCAATCACATCCGCCAATGCTGTTTTCAATGATGACCATCCGAAACCTCAAGTTAATTCGCCTGGAGTGTTTGAGAAGCGTATGCTGTTGGCGATCCTGCTCCTGATAGAATATATTTTTAAAGATCCAGGGGTTCTGCGCCATATGGAACTTTCCAAAGCAATAGACTCGAGTTGCACGACTAGTAAAGAAAATCCCTCCAGTCATACGCCTGTTCATAACGAAGTGAATAGTCTTTTGATCTGTATAGTCAGCTTACTCTCACATATAAATGTTATTCTTAGCTATGGAGTGTCTCATACTCAGCGGCAGGAAAAGACTGGTTTTACGGATTTAGTCAGTCCACCTCTGTTAATTGCTTTAGCAAAAGCTTCCTTTGCATGTGCTATGTCTACTCGCAGTCAAACGTTTCATGTCACTGTCCGGAAATTCTTCACCAACCTCACAAAACATTCAAACAGTGTGGTAAGTTTATTCGCATTAGGTAATTACTATCAACTATGTGGTCTAAATATCAGCAGTTCCATTTGTCACGAAGATTCAGAGATAAATAGAAGCAGTCTGTCAAGTACTCAATTTACTCATCAAACTAAGCTTGTCTTACCCGATGAAAAATATGATGTCGAATACACTTCAGAAGTATGTGCCGCTTCAACTAAAGTTTTGACCCCCGAACAAGAGGGACCTCCCGTCAAGCGTCTTCGAATGATAGAGTCACATACAGTTGCACAAGTTACTGATATATGTTCGGATGCCAGTCGTGGTGCTGTTGAAGCTGACTTCTCACCTAAAATTCAACAAGAGGATTTGCCAGCATCTAGTGAGCCGAATGTACTTTCATCAGAGGATATAAACAGTTTTCTGACCACTTTCGATCCGACTTTTATGTGATTCTTTGGTAATTTTACTCCCATTCATACCTCTGTAAATAAAACACTTATTCTATAGTTAAAAGAATATTGAGAATAATTTAACTTGTTTATTTTTTCAGCTATTGCAGTGCTAAAATCGTCGTATCCAATTTGAAAATTCCCTTGCAAGTTCTCTGTTTTTCTGTGGCTTTTGTTTAAGTCATGAAAAACGTTTGTATGTTCAACAAACTAAACTTTTGGGTGTAAACATTAGCAAGTTCAGATAACGTATAAGAGTGCTATATATCAATCATAGGTATTGTTTGATTGGTGCTTGCAAAGAATGGCACGAAGTATAAGTCAGAAAAAACTACCACAATGGTAAAGTACTAGTCGCCTATGTTAAAGTTACTGCGTTTGTTATGCCAATTTGATAATCAAACGTCGGAAACTACCGTTGAATTTTGCGACCATGATCACAGGTTGTGGAACTTCAGTCCTGATCCTTTTATCAAGTCACAGCCCCGTTCCATACCTCACCACTTCCCCACTTCGTTCTTTACATCATTCCTCATCGTTAGTCTATACTACGTCCACCCACCAGGTACTTAGAAATGAGCCAAATGCTGTGTGAGGAATATGGTACTAACTGACCGCCCAAACCGAGTTATGATTGGTCTGCATTCCCCACCTCCGTCTTTCAAATGTGTAGTAAATGATAGTTATTCAAGCTGTTCGTATCCAATACCATATCATGACAGATTTCGCTAGCTAGATGTGAAATTCAAAATCAGAAAAGTATGCTATGTTTCTGACACACACAAACAGAACTAAGCTATGGTTATCCACTTAATCTCACCTCTATATCGTGGTGACCCAAAACTATTAACTCCTTGGTCATTTGAATATTTCATACCGATGAGCAGATATGGAATTAAGTATGAATTCAAAGCATACGCCTATGGACTGTCCCGTAACAGTTGCCCGTACATTTCCGCATTGACTGTCACTTTAAGATCTGAAAAGCCCAATATACTACGTATCACCTGTTGTTTAGAATCTTTCTACACTTATCGGACAGTTTCAAAGAAATAAATGGAATTTTCTGTCAGCAGCTTTCAAATTTAAATGCATCAGAATTAAGTTAAATCAAACAGTTATCTAATTACGACTTTTGTCCACATACCTCAGAGAGAAAATAACGTTAGGTATTTGGTATATTCGACCCCTGACAACCATTCGTTGTGAACAAGTAAGGTTTCTATCTAGGGAAATATAACTTCTGGCTAAGTGACCGTCAACTCGATAAAATAAATATTGCCACTAGAAATCGTTCATTGGGTTAGAATTGAACTTCAGGTTATTTTAAAACACATCTGTAATGACTTTTCAACGAATATTCAAATTAAGATACCAAAAGCTTTTTTAGGAAATACTAGTATGGAGGGAAAGTATCATCCCAAGGCACCTTGATGTGACCTCCAGTTTATTTCGAAACTGTTAAATACTGGTCACAACCCACAAAATGCTATGTATCAAAAACTAGTAACCTCCGGAATAGTGGCTAGTGGGGAACACTTGGGACGGCTCTCAGTGCTATCGATAAGTGTACCCCCAACATGTTTAGTTGATGAAAATGAACGATACGAAGTTTCAAATTATAAATATGTGAGGCTACCCCGGATAAACAAATCAGTGGCTATACCAGACTTATTTACTAAAATGACGGATGTAACACTGCAGCAACAAGAGACCCTTTATTTTCTTTTGCCTACCAACAACTTGGATAAAGTACTCGCCTAAAGTCCCCAGTTTTAGCAAACTAAGGCGTTTCTAAAGGTTTTCGTTACGATGAAAGAAGTATGGGGAAACTCGGGACAATCCGGATTATTGTGTAATTAGTAGGTAACTTTGCCATTGTATTTATATATTCTCTTTATTGTTAGCTTCAAGTCGACCTATCAACTGTTTCTCAATTACTGCTAATTAATCATATACTGTTTGCTCCGCTTTCTGTCACTTATAGCATAATTCTGTTTAAAGTATGCTTTGTGGTCTGGTAATTTGTTTATGTAAGCCGAGCGTTTGAAGCAGCTGCTGTGCCAACGGGCTCGGCTAGATGGTTGCAGACTTTTCTTCAGACTCAAGACTGGGATCTTATCACAACAGTCTTTAAGGAGAAGTAGAGTAATAGAACTTAACGAGCTAACTCTAGAGGATTTTGGAAAAAGATAGTTCAAAGTTGCTAATAAAACTGACTTCTTTTGGAGATTCACAGTAAACTCATCTTGTCAGTCAATCTCTGTTAGCTCCGGATGACAGGAAAGAATCGTAATCTTTTAACAATGACAATATGTTAATCAGCTAAAATCCTAGAGTACATATCAGCATAATACTTAACCGAAGTTCAGAAATAAGGGGTAATTTCGTCGTATCTACTAGCACTGAGCAGAGTATAGACCATAGGAGTACTTTGGGACTTAAGATTCTAGCTGTTTCTTGATCTGAAAGCGATAAGGGAGGTTACTAATTGAGATCTGTAATAATAAACTGTTCAAAGGGTTGTAACTGGAAGCTTTTTATTCGAACACGTGGTCAGATCACGAATTAACATCTGGGTTTGTTACTCGAGTTAGCATTGTTCACTCTACCTTTTTCATAAATAAACTACAGGTGATCACCCCTCTGCTCTTCTTGATTTGTTTGACCCAAAATTATTGGTTGATGTAGAGCGATCGCAAAAAGATTTACGTAGCATGTTAGAGAGGCACTAAGACAGAATAGTCTCATCTGTGCAGTACTCTTGATTGGGGTTAGGTTACCAACCGCTTCTGTTTATGCTTATTCTCTTTGTTCCTATATAGCTGCGATGAATTAGGAAAATACATTGGCACTAGTATTGCGTGTGGTGGTCCTTTTTGCTTGGAACTAAGCTGTCGTAAAATATTGCAACGTTTCCAGTCTTCCTAACACATTATACAATCAGATGTCTGCGACCTTTTTTCGAGTGAACATCATTTCCACAATTGAATGAAATTAAGTATCCGGTTACATATTAATGACTTTGAAGTACATAACTGAACACAGTACTCTTAGACTAAGATACAACCTACTGAGTTCCGTTTTGTACATATGCTCAAGAAATAAAGGTTACAATCAATATGTGTATATTTCTGAGACGAGTTAGGACTTATTTGGTGAAGTATTCATGCAATAAATGAATCTGAAGTTCACAGAAACAATAGAAGTATTTCATATATGAGGAAAGCAACAGTAATAAAAGCGAGACAATACGGAGTGAGTTGTTGGATGGAAAAATGCATCTTTTTTAATCGAGATGATCTGCAACTAGTTATCGATAGTAAGCAGTCGTACATCTACACCAAATACTTCCAGCATATATCCCATTAATGTTCTTTGTTCTCCAATGCGAACTGATTCCACAAGTTTACAAACTCTGTTCTTTAAATTGCGTTGTCTACAGAGGGCATGAAGGCATACTGCTGATTTTAATCATTATATTTATTTCACGTTGAAACTTACTTAGTACTGGGACAAGTAGAACACAAAAGAAAAGGATTATTCGAGATATGAAACGAATCAGTAACATGGCGATGACAATACATACGGGTACAAGTATCTTTGGTTGGTTAATGGTGTTAAGGGTTCTTGTATCTAAAAATAGGAGAATCATCAAGGGTAAGCATATCACAAGAAGTCCTGTTAATACGGGAATGGGATTAAGAGCGCTATAAAAACATTTTATAAACTTAATCACGTATTACCTGAGTAATATTATTATAATCAAGCTTAAAAGGAAGTAATTCGACTGATAATAAATTAGATTTGAAACCATTCGTTCATTCCATTTACATCCTCTGGGTATACTGTATCGAGCGCCAAAGCCTAAAAAGTCATTGAAAGATCGTAAAGGTACTGAACGCATCTAGGTTATATTCCCGAATGTATTAGAATCTGAAAAAGAAATGTAACAAACAGACGTTACGGAGAAAACTAAACACCGAAATTCGAAACAACTAATCCCTCTGATAAAATTAGATGATGCAATAAAATCACTGTCAAAATTATGTAATATATTAGCACAATACATTTTGGACAGTCTAACCACAAATTCATTTGTTATGAAATTTATACATGAAAAAACGAAGGTCAGCTGGGAGGGGACCCATGGTAACAAGAACAACACTGTATATTACATTATACAAACGTCTATCTCATCCTCCTTCGTATATAAATCCCTAACAAGCAAGTGTTCGACCAGATTGTTAAAAATGTACTATATTAATACACCACTTAGTTTATATAAACCTTGTTTTACCGCTGCCTTATCTAAACACCAAAATACACTTATTTTCCTTAATTAAAAGACTACATCTTTATATTATTAATCGGTCCTCACAGATATTAACATATATAAAGTGTTTGCTGCATATGTTCTGATTATGAACGACTTCCTTTGTTTTCTGAACCCTCAATGTTTATTTTATATTCTAGTTCTTCTGCAAATTTATACTTATATATATATATATATGTTAAATATGAAATATCCTGCTAGTTATAAATCGATGAGTTTAACGAAACCATGACTTTGAACCTTTTGTATTTAAAAAGATCTGTATTGTTGATGAGGAGCAGGAATACAATTTCTTTTAATACCCCTGCTTTAACTGAAGTAAATAAGACTGTGCCGCCAAAGGATACCATCAAGCCCTTGAAGTTGATTTGAATGTCTTTAACCATATCCGTAGATTATATGGGAGGTTTGGAAGACTGGTCACATGAATGCACCACAGGTTGCAATGTTAATTTTTTATTGACAGATTTAGTGTCAGGGTCCTAAGAAGTAAGAGAACTGGTTGTATTGAAGTTCTTTGACTTGCGCAGTTTCAACCCACTATATATAAAAGGGAGAAGTCCATTGTTTTTCACTTATTACTTGTCTTGTTTTGGTATCTGTGCTACTTCGATTAGTATTTTTAAGTACTAATGATCTGATTATCACATTTTTAAATAAGATTTATGTCTACTGACTGGGACATACTTTCATCTTTAAGCACCTCCTTAATCACTTGCACAGACATTCCAGTACCTTAATTCTACCTAAAGTTTATGTTGATTTAGTCTGGAAAGACAGCAAAAGCTTCATAATTAAATTATTCAGACCCCAACTGCCCTGGTACGGCCGAGAGTGGGGAGAGTCTGCTCTCCCTCTCGAAATGCTCTTATATGGCCACGCGAATATATAGCCTCTGCCAGGGAAGTCCTATTCACTACCTTCTCGTGGCGGGGGTGTTGTTCACAAAAAAAGATAGGACGAAAGGCGAATGTCCGGCGCTTTAACCGGGTTGGTGGATGTGGAGGATCCACCTAGGGGAGTTGGAAAACCCCGATTCCAAACTAATGGTGCACATGGGCTCCAGTATCCTGATAGAACGAATGGCGTATGAACCAGTCGCTGGTCACCACCTACCATGGGACTGTATCTCCTTACGATGCTCCACTGCCTTGTGGATCAGATCTTTAGGTCGAAGGCTCCGGGTGTGGCCCTCTAAGAAAGCCACCTGCTTCGGTTTGGGCACCCGAGCAGTATCACAGCCCTCACACAAATCAAATGAGATTTGTGTGGCGCATATGCATTTGGTGCCCCTTTGTACCGATATTTGTGTTTAAATAAATAAAAAAATAAATATTCATCTTATAAAACGTAGCTGTACGAAGAGTGTATCCATAATTTAAAATACTTATTGGCACATCTATAGTTCCTCGGAAATCTTCAATCTTTCCATTTTAGAAGAAATAAAAGACAAATACCACATATTGTTGTCCAAAACCATTAAATTAATAGTGTATGACTGTAGTTGTTGCAGATGATGACCTTGTGACATAAGTAAATTACCGAAAAGCAAGCGCGTCTGTCATTTCTGATTGCGTTTGAACCATGAAAATCTGGTAAAATTTTAGAAAATCGCTACCAGTGAAGTAACTACTTCTATAAATTCGGTGTTCATCTTGTTGTGCTAATGAGGTGTGGCAACTTAGACCGATGCATATATGTCCCTGATCCTACGTTGTAGCTGACTGACTGACTTAGAAAATGTGGGCTGAAGTTTTGAGATCTGGAGCTTCATCAAACTTACTTGACCTTTTCTAGCCACCACATATACTTACAAAGAATTTACTTTACGGGAGGACTCTACACTTTTCAAAATGGTCCACAACTGTAGATTAAGGCTTTTAGATATTAAAAAGCTGTTATATATGAGGTGACAATATACTGGGCCAGAAAACTGGGATCCAAGCCATCCCTTGGGATAGCAAGCGAATTCCCTCCTTAAGTTAGCGTAGCAATGAATACCCTGACCCACCATTATTAAAAGCCGGACATGTAAGGCTATAGTTATGAGGAGCTATTCGCTAGCACAGAAACAGTCGAGTAAAGCACAATGACAGGCTTTGAGAGACGTCACGTTGTCGGGTTTTATATAGGACAAATAAAAATAGTAACTAATTGGTGATGAATCACATGGGATTTTGTAATCTCTTGAAAACGACTGGATTCGTAAGATCAATCTAAAAAACGATATGGGACTAGATTAACAACCTGACCATTCCTGGTTCGCTCACCCCCTCGTATATGAACCCAGATAGTTTTGGTGGTCAAGTCATGTTAATGGTACATACTTGTTAGGAATTATACTTCCTAACAAGTCTGTGATATATATATCACAGACTACCCGAGGTACATGGACAATAACCTTTTAAAGTTAAATAGCTTATGAATCTAGGCCCACAGATTCTTGAGTTTAGAACAGCTAAATTTTTAACTATATATCTCAACGGTGTTTATTAAAACGTCTACTTGACAGTTAATAACATCTAAAAGTGTCGGCATTCTAATTAAAATAATCAATTGTGACTAATTAATCGTAATTCGATTGCATAATTGTTTCATGTTAATGCACCAGGAAAAATGAACACGACTTTTAAACAGTAAGTTGAATGGCCAAACTGAGGTCAAATGTTTCGTAGATTTGTAGACAATTAAACAGATGCATACGCACTGAACACTCGTCAGCCCACAATGTTACGCACCTTTTATACGCAGCGGAATGTACTGTCCAATCAAATTCGGTTTGGAAAGGACAAGAGTCTTGATTGCTTGTGTTAGACCTGGCAATGGTGGTTTCACAGTCGATCCAACTATCCTTTAAAATCGTTGGCAAGTGGAGCATCAATCATGTGACGAGATAATGAATTCCATTCTTTGGTGATTCGATGGCAAAGTCGATATTCAAATGGTTGTGGACGGAGTAGAAGCTTTAGCTAAACCGGCTTCCGTATCTAGTAGCAGTGTATCCCCAATACCTCCAGGCAGGAACCTAAGTATATTAACGATAGTAGAGGGAAAAAAGAAATTGGTAAATCATAATCAGATGTTATCCTTAGTCCTTAAGAATAGGTCAAGTTTTCAGTGATAAGGATAGAAGGTCTGTCGACCTATATTATTCCTTGCAGTTTTTTGCACTGTGCAGGTTCAATCTCCTTATGAATATATCAACAGAAGGTGATAATCTTACGTGTTCTGGTAGAAAATTCTAGTAATTCACTATTCGGTGCGAGAAACGAAACTCCAAACGTCGACGATTTGATCTCGGTTTTTGGACTTTCTTCGAATGCCCTATCAAATGATAAGTCCTGGCCGGAAGGAAAAAATAGGACACATTATTACCAAGGACATCGTTCAGTATACGATAGGCCAATATTAGATCACTCACGTAATCTGCGGTAAGATCACGGAAATAAGTTGAGGTGTCTCAGTCTGTCTTCATAAGATAAACCAGGTAGACCGTTTACCAATTTAGTCCCTCAGTATTGGACTCGTTCCAGTTTATCCGCCTCATATTTGAAACAAGGGTCTGCTTCTTGAATCCTATATTCCAAATGTGGTCAGGTATAATAATCTAAACATTTCCCTAGCCAAATACTGAAAAGATCTATGAATAGACTATAATACCCTATAAGCTTTTACAGCAGCAGTCTTACAGTGACTGGTTGTTTTGAGATAACTGCTTACTGTGACTCCTATATCTTTATAGCCTCTTACTTTGGGTGACACGAATCCACATATTGTGTAGTAATACGAATCATCATAGTTATTTAATTATATCACCACACTCTTGTTAGGATTCACTTCTGGTGACCACCCGCCTATCCATGCGACCAATTGGTTGAGATCATCATGTAATACCATTTTATCTGACATGCTATATATGGGTTTCCAAATCTTTACTTCATCGGCAAAGAGTAGGACGGATGACTTTGCCTCAGTTTGTAATTAATTTGCATTAAGTAAAAAGAGAATAGGATCGAGGATTGTGCCTTAAAGAACTCCACTTTTTACAGGTTCCCACGATGAAAGAGCTCCATTTACTCTTACCCTTTGTTTCCTGTCATTAAGAAAGTCACTTATCCAGTCTATGACCGTATAATCAATTCCAAATGTTTCCTGTATTAATTTAATACCAGAATGGCAGAACTTATCAAACGCTTTACTTAGATCTATGAAAATCACATCTACAGGAATATTTTGATCTTTTGCTGCAGCTCCATTACTGTTACCAGGATCCTACTATCAAAGGATAGATCCTTCCTTGATCGTCTCAGTCCAACTAATATAAGATGCATTGAAGTCTCCTAATATCAAGCATCTGTTATTTGCACTCCATAGCTGAATGTGCTTTAAAATAAAGTCATCAGCTAAGCAGATTGGGCTATACATGACACCGAGTACAAATGTGAAACATCCGATAGTGAGCTAATAACTTCACAAGTTCCACCAGCATATAGTTGGCAAGCAAAGGACTGATTATTTATATTATTGGCTATGTATAAAAGGGCTCCACCTCCTTTCCTACATCTATGTCTATCACTTCCTAAGCAGTGGTATCCAGATAATTCTGGAGTAAGTCATGGACTAACCAAGTTTCCGTCACAGCTACAATGAGTGGTCTTGATTTGTCCATCAATGCTCCCAGTTCATATAATTTATTTCTTGGACTACTAGCGTTGGCATATAAAACTCTTAGGGAGAACGACCTATCCACACAGGCCTTGGTAACATTCGCTTCCAAGACCTGAGTATTCGAAAACACACTAAGCGGAGATTATCTTCACCGTTTTGTCGACGGGTCTCTAGTTCAGCTGGTGCCAACTTCCTTTTTTATTCTATCTTTAAGAGACATATCAGGTCTTACTCGAATGTCAGTACTGTGATGACTAGAGCGCTACTTAACAGAAGATTACGTTGTTTCTCTGACCCTAGGATTACGTTAAGGAGTCTATATGGTCAGGGTTGAAAAATATTGTCGGCCGTTTTACCTATCCTAACAAATTTATTGACCTGAACACCTTTAGATTTATCTGGTAATATGCTACGGATATATTCTCCGAGCCTTTCCGAATAATGGGCGTGTCTAATTTTGGATCGGGATCGTTTGACTCTAGCAAATTACTCACAATAATATTCGATGAGACTAAGTTCTTCTCAGTCACTCCAGTGTAGTGTTCTACCTTACCATCAGAGTTTGGTAGTGTATTGTGTGACTCAGAATGGGAATTAACCAACGACTGGTCGACCAAGTGGGCGCTTCTTTTCTCCATACTGTCATCCATTTTTCATCACTCGAGATGGTCAGATGGGACTGTTGTGAGCGGTGACGGCTTTATCCAGGTCCTCTATTTCTACTGCGAAAGCATGACTCTCTATGTCAATATCAAGTGGAGCTTCGCTTCTCGTTAGTTTTAATGGAGGTTTTTACTTTCCATCAAGCACAGTCGGGTGTTTCACAAGTACCGTTAAGGCAAGTTACACACTGACACATTCGTGACTGTCGGTACTCGTGTTACCAGCGCAATCACTATCTTTCTTCTTACAAGCCAAAGCTGGAAGGCTCATAGCCTCCTGGATCAGTAACGTCTTACTATTACAGCAAAACATACGAAGCATATGAGAGTTAGGCTTCGAGAGCCTTTCGTATGTGGTGGGACTTAAACGATTACACATCTTATTGAACTACGTTTAACACTCATCACATAGCGTTCCTTCCTACACAGAGAATAAACAATTTGGCTGTGCACATATATATGTACTGTCAACCACCTTGGTCAGATTAAGGGAGTTTAAAACACAATATGATCACAATATGAACACAAGTGTCAGAATCAAGGGGAAATTACCACGAGATGAAGTTAGGCGACATTTCAACCATAACCTAAGTAACTCAAGTTAAAGTAAATCAAGAATCGTTTTTCATGCAACAAGTGCACAAAAGTAGGGCCGATTCCAACAATTACTAAATCCCTGCCACATATTTCAGTGCTTGGAGTTTAGAACGTGTGTGGTAGAAATAAATTCGTGAAATAAATCGGTGTGTGAATTCGTTAGTTGCACCAGGCTGACATTAGCTAGAGGCGCTCGTTCAATCATCTCTTACAACTGACAGCCAACCTAAGTCAAATGCTTCTCAAAATATCAACAACTTTCCAAATATATCTACGAAATCATTTATATTCGACTTCTGATTTCACCGGGTTGGTGTATTTTCGTTATAAAGGTTTTAAAGACAAAGGCATTTGTACGATCCAAACTAAGGTCTGGCTGAAGAATAACTGTCTGGTTAACTAGATACGCGTGTACCCCAATGGAAATCAGAACAAGGTGATTGGGGAAACAACGGTTCTAAGTTTTATCATAAATACAAACGTACAATTTTACCTCAACAAATATTACTATTTAGTTATTCAACCAATAATTATTCCTCAATAATCGATCTTAATTACAATAAATAGACAAATCGGTAAGAAATGTAGAAAAATTACCGAACGCGTGAAAAAGTAAGTGTTATTCTATCCATTTCTGGATAAATCAAGAAAAAAATCCGTTGAAAAGATAACAGTTTGTTGCTTTCCGATTTTTGAAAAGTGCTCCAATTCACAACCAAAATGCACCAACCCAGTCAACTCAAGCAACACACTCAATGAGAGGAACAGTCAATATGGCTGCCGCTAAGATTAAGTATCTACCAAAACAACATAAATACAATTCAGGAAGAAACATTGAAACACAGTAAAGGCAAAAGAAAAGATGAGAAAACTATTATAAAATGAAGCACAACAATCTCAAATGGCATCAAAAGACTAACAAAATGTACAACTAGAGAAACCAATGAGAAAAAGCTGCAAATGTATGCATGGAGGGATTTTCACACACAAAACCTTCAAAATGGATCTTACAGCATTGCCAAACCGTAGTATTTGTACTGATCGATGATTCCTTTGTTGTTGATTGAGGACTTTTGCGAGTTGCTCACACAATTATTAGCCTACTTACCTACCCCTGTTACCCCTCTTCTGAAGTAGCAGTGGCCGCTCAACAGTATTCTCCATTCAACTTTGTCCTCAACAGTCTTTTCCACTTGCTTCCAGTAGTTCTTCACTATTTTTAGGTCTGCTTCCAATTCTCGACGCAAAGTGTTCCTCTTTTCCAAGTTAGGGCTTGCATCGTGATGCAGTCTGGTGTTCTCCGAAATATATGTCCTATTCACTTCTAACATCTTTTCCTGATTTCCTCTTCAACTGGAAGCTGGTTTGTCCTCTACGACAGTAGGCTGTTGCTGATGGTATTCGAACAACGAACATTCGGTATCTTAAGCAGAAAATGTTTTGTAAATACATGCACCTTTTTGATGATGGTTGTGGTAGTTCTCCAAGTTTCAGCTCCATACAGAAGAACTGTTTTAATGTTTGTACTGAAGATTTTGAATTCGATGTTGGCTTGCAGACAGTTGTTTTGAGTTCCATATGTTCTTCTGTAGTGAACGAGAACACTAGTGGGAATAGACGAATGTATTTGAACACAAAGTTATAGAATATTATGGTGAGGTCTGAGAGCCACACAGTAAATTCTTCATTTGCGAAATGTCAATCAATTGTCTGAAAATTGACTATTAGTTTTGCAAAATGTCAACCAGTCGTCTCAGGCTTCATTGTTCTTTCGTTTCCACACCAATCATTCTCTGTTCGCGTTCTCTTTACTTCGACTTTCTCAACACTCCTCAGCCAGACAAATCACTTTCGATCGATGACACATTCTACTTATATCTGTCGACATCAGTAGCGCACCACACTTCACTTTTAGGTATGACATATTTTCTTTGCCAATCCTCGCCTTTACGTCTGCATCAGATTCTCCTGTTCATCGACGATACTATCCAGACATGTGAATGCTTCCACTTCTTCTGAAGTTTCTGCATCAAGTGTAACTATATTGGTGTTCTCTGTGTTGTAGTTCAGGACCTTGTTTTCGCCATTGTGTATGTTGCGGTCTACTGATGCAGAGGCTGCTGCCACACT